GAAGTGTCTCAACATAGAGACCAGGAGAAGAAATGGCACTACAAAATATATTTATTTGAACTCCTCCAAATTCAATAGGAGGAAGAGGGAAAGTCCTGTGTCAGGAGGTTCATGCAATTATTCTGCTGCATCTGGTACGGTCATAGCTTCTATTTTGAGGTTACATGTATCTTCAGAAAGTTTAGTTGTGTTACCTGTGGTTGGTGTATGTTGATTTTATGAGTGAAGTAATATAATAAGAATAGATAAGCACAAGGAGACTAGCATTCTACTTTTAATAACCTCTAACCTTCAACAGGTTACCGAGGCCTCATCTAGGCTGCTGTTCCCTTATCTTTAAAAACAAAAGATCTTTAAAGTCTCATCGTTTTTTCACCAAAAAACTTAAAAAATTGAAATAGAACTTATCATATACATATATATAATAAGTTCTGTTCATATATATATGTAAGTTGTTGATACATGCTTTTCAGTGGTACTCCATCTATAGAAAGGATAATTTTCCAAGTAAGTATATTTTATTTTTAGTTTGTATCAGCTACTCTATTTTAAGTGCTTTACATACTGTCACTATAGGATAGTCAGATATGAATCTTTATAAAAGTAATTTTCTTTATTAGGGCTTATTTTATTCTTTGGAATACCAAATCAGATGATATCATCAATTTAATCCTTCTGGATTGAGTAGAAGAAGGAGGTTGCCTTTTATTTTTATATTTAAGAACCAAAATATTGTATAGTGCCTTTTACTTCAAGATGTTCAGGTGAGAATGTTTCAAAAAACCAAAATAAAGGGAAAGATAATATACTGTCAGCTTTCCTCTGAATGTTTCCCGACATTTTAAGTAAATCAATCAGTTATCAGATTTCAGTTTATACTGTAGTTTAGTAAGTTTATATAGCTAATAACAAATATTGTATTTAGAAAGGTATATACATGTAAGTTTTTAGTTGATTATGCAGAAAGAGAGCATCATTCTGCCCCACCCTATTCTGTTTTTCCTCACCTTTCCAGTTTCCACTTGCAAGGCATTCTCCTAGATCCCTCCAGCACAGCACTGTGGATTTTTGTTTTGTTTTGTTTTTGAGACCTCTGCAGTTGCCTCCAGCTTCATTTTTAGCAGCCAGAATGTTTTTTAAATAAAAGCTGAATCTCAGTTCTCTCTTGCACAAAACTTCTCCTGGCCTACCAGACCCTGAATAACTTGGCTTTCACCTCTTTCCAGTCTTGTCTTGTTCTGCCTTTGCCTCTGCCCTCTGGCCTTTTCCTGTACCCCAGTCTCCCTCCCTAGTGGTGTTACCCAGTCAGTTCCCTCTCCCAGAAGACTCTGCCCCTCTCAACTGGTACAGCTTTCCTTTCTCTGTCTTTAGATCTCAGCTTAATACAGCTCCACAGAGAAACCTTTGCTCGCTGCCCTTTTTAGATAGACCACCTGTTTTACTTCATTTCTCTGTCTTGTTTGCATCTTGCCATAGCAATTACAGTTGACCCTTGAACAATTAGCGGGTTAGAGGTGCCACCTCACCTACACACAGTCAGAATTCTTCATGTAACATTTAACTCCCCAAAAAGTTAACCACGAATAGCCTGCTATTGACCAGAAGCCTTACTGATCAATAGTCGATTAACACATATTTGGTATGTTGTACATATTATTTACTGTATTCTTACAATAAAGGAAACTAGAGAAGGGACAGTGTTATTAAGACAATCATAAGGAAGAGAAAATTTTTTTTTTAGATCGAGTTTTGCTTTCATTGCCCAGGCTGGAGTTCAGTGGCACAATCTGGGCTCACCACAACCTCTGCCTCCTGGGTTCAACTGATTCTCCTGCCTTAGCCTCCCGAGTAGCTGAGATTACAAGCGCACGCCACCACACTCAGCTAATTTTGTATTTTTAGTAGAGTTGGGGTTTCTCATCTGTACTGATCTTGAACTCCTGAACTGAGGTGATACGCCTGCCTCGGCCTCCCAGAGTGCTGGGATTACAGGCGCGTGCCACCACACCCAGCTAATTTTTGTGTTTTAGTAGAGACGGGGTTTCACCATGTTGACCAGGATGGTCGCAATCGAATGACCTTGTGATCCACCTGCCTCGGCTTCTCAAAGTACTGGGATTACAGGTGTGAGCCACCACGCCCAGCCAAAAATATTCTTATTGTTCATCAAAAAGGCCTTCATCCTCATCATCTTCATGCTGAGCAGGCTGAGGAGAAGAGGGAACGGGAAGGGTTGGTCTTGCCGTCCCAGGGCGGCACAGGAGGAAGAAAATCTGCATGTAAGTGCGCCTGTGCAGTTCAAACCCCTTTTGCTGAAGGGCCAATTGTATTTTTTTTTTTTTTTTTTTTTTGAGACGGAGTTTCACTCTTGTTACCCAGGCTGGAGTGCAATGGTGCTATCTCGGCTCACCGCAACCTCTGCCTCCCGGGTTCAGGCAATTCTCCTGCCTCAGCCTCCTGAGTAGCTGGGATTACAGGCACGCGCCACCATGCCCAGCTAATTTTTTGTATTTTTAGTAGAGACGGGGTTTCACCATGTTGACCAGGATGGTCTCGATCTCTTGACCTCGTGATCCACCCGCCTCGGCCTCCCAAAGTGCTGGGATTACAGGTGTGATGTATTTTTACTTTGTTATTTGTTTCAATTTTTTTTTCTAGAAAAATTGATAGCAGGGGTCATGTCTATTTTGTGTACAACTGTAACATTCCAAGCACACAGCAATTAAATACTCTACAAATATTGTTGAAGCCTTGACTCAATTAGTTACTATTTTTTTGGGGGGGCGTTGTTTGTTTTTTGGAGACAGTAACTTGCTCTATCACCCAGACTGGAGTGTTGTGGCACAGTTATGGCTCACTAAAGCCTCACCCTCCTGGGCTCAAGTGATCCTTCTGCCTCGGCCTCCCAAAGTGCTGGGAGTACAGGTGTGAGCCACTGTTTCTGGCTGACGTTTATCTTTTTATCTGTATTTTGCTTCAGTTCATTAAAATAAGTTTTATTCTCTGAAAACCCACAAGTTTTTAATTCCCCAAGCAATTGAAAATAGTCTGGAAATGTGCAAAGAAATAGGGAATCCTACCAAAGATTTAATTTGTCCACAGATAATCCTGAAAATCGACAAGTTACTTAGGATAATCAAACATGTGTCCAAGAGTTATCTATGTTTTGAAAAGGTTCTATATAATCCCGGCTCTAGTTAGCAGAGGGCCCTTCAAAGCTCTTCATATTGGAATCTGTGGATATCTGATTCCACATAACTAAAAGTCTTTAATTGTAACATGTTTGTAGAATCTGATCAGTATGTTAACTGCTGAATTAATCCTGTTTTCTAAATCTTCACTATGCATATTTCTACAAAAGAAATATCTCCTCTTCCATTTCTAGTTGTACCTCACATGATTAATTCTCCTGAGTAAGCAGAGATCTTGACCTGTCACTTCTTACATCTGCCTATTTGTTTAACAGAACAGAGAATTACAGTAAAGCAGAGGACTGGTACAAGTGTTTGTGTTTGCTTTACAAACACTTTTTCCTCTTAGTACAAAACACAACACAAGCTCTTAATTTTAGATTTTCTTAGGTTTGTTGTAAATAGAAAATAGAGTATAACATTTTATAGATTTATTTCTAAACTGTATTATGGTTACTTTTCTTATTGTGATTTTTAGCTATTTGAGAAATTGCTTGTATATTGTCATGAATATGAATTCATTATTATTAAATGTTAATGAATAACCGTTCAGAATAAAATGACAAGTCTGTGCACTTTCACTCGTATAACGTCCTAGCCCATATTTTAATGTTTTGGCTTTTCCCTTTGTTTTTTTTCATGTCAGCTTCTTCATCTGGTCCATCAGTTATTGAACATACCACGTCGCTCCACCTCATCCCATCTTCAGGACAATCAGAGGGTTGCTAAGTGCCAGTTTCGTCCAGGCCACTTCGTGGCCAAATGCTAAGCACACTACCAGCTCTGTCCAATGCTCACTTGTGCGGTTTTCATTTGTGTCCAACCCTGTAGAAAGAAAATGACAACTTTCAGTTTTCATAGTTTGACTAAACTATCTTTTTGTATCATGTGAGGAACCAAAATCTTATTTTAAACTTGCTCCTTGATAGCTCTTTGTTTAAAATTTTCTGGGAATATTTTATAATTATAGATACTAAGACATGGAGAAGAAATAAGTGCTTTATTGTAGCCATAGAAATGGTTTCCTCTTTCTAACCCAGTCATATGCCATCTCTCTGAAAAGAAATTCCCAGACGAGACATGATGGCTTGTGCCTCGAGTCCCAGCACTTTGGGAGGGCAAGGTGGGAGGATCACTTAATGCCCAATAGTTTGAGACCAGCCTGGGCAACATAGTAAGACCTCCATCTCTACAAAAATAAAATATAAACAAGTTATCCAAGCATGGTAGTGTACACCTGTAGTCCCAGATACTTGGGAGGCTCAGGTGGAAAGGATCATGTGAGCCCAGGAGGTGGAGGGTGCAGTGATCTATGATCACACTACTACACTCCAGCCTGGGCAACAGAGTGAGACCCCGTCTCAAAAAATAAAATACTCTCTTCCCATATCTGATCAGAATAGAAAAAGAGACCAGCCTTGACTTATGTTCAGAATTTCTCCAATCCAAACCCAGCTTTTCCTCATTTTATGAAAATAGGAGCAGCCTTCTGTTGCACAATATTCACAGTAAACACATGGTTTTAGGAACTTGAAGAATGTTCATGTCTAGAAACCAGACTCTTAACTGCAACACAGATCACTAAAGCTTTGGAGTGAAAAACAAGGAGTGCACAGGCCATGCATGCCTCTGCAAGTCTAGTTGGAGCAAGGAACACTTCCATGACCCCAAGAGCAGCTGAGTCTGTTGGTTCTGGCATTCATTGGTTAATCGCCTGATGTAGATATTCTACTCCAGAGGTGGCAAATGTGTGGCATATTTGTTAACACTCCTACCTCTAATACTTATAACAGACATCAATAATGGATCATCGTTTCTCGGCCTTTTGGCTAAGATCAAGTATAGTGTCTGTTCTTACCAGTTTAATAATGGATCACGGCAGTGTTTCCTACTGAGTGCAAAGACAGTCATGGGATCTTTCTTAACACAGCAGTCACTTTTAATTGCCAACCTTGTTTTAAAAAAGAAGCATCAGCACTCCCTGAAATCCTTCTTAGTTTTTCTTACTCTATTCTTATGCTATCCATACCCTCTTCCCACCATGGCAACTAGACTCTTATTTTGATGATTGCTTTATGATATTTTTCTAAAGAGCTGTCATTTACTTTTACCAAATGGAAAACAGAGATGATGTGGTTTTTTTCTCTCTTACTTGGCAGTCCAGCAGTAACTTAACTAAGTGAGCAGTAGCCTTTTTAAGGTAACATAGAATTTTAAAGTCTGTCCCAGATGTAATTCTAATATGTCCAGTGACACTGCAGAAAATTTTAATTTCCCCAGAACTATGTCTTATTCTGGGATGTGTGCATGCGTGTGTGCATGCTGGTAGATGTTACAGTCAAGTAAAATGTCAGCACGGTAATTATAGACCAAAAAAGTTCACTTCAAAGAATTAATACTGTTCAAAGGAAAATTCACGATTTGGAAACTCACAATTTAAAAAAGCATTTTCTTTTCGTTCCTTTCCATTCAAAGATAGGTGGAGTAGTTACCATTCTAAGATGAAGTCTATAATAGCATAAAAATCCCTCTGGATAAGAAGGAGTGTGTTGTTTGAGTTTTCCAGCCCATCTTATGGGATTTCAGAACTCCTTAAGCGCTTAGCTTGTGGTGTTTTTCGGATTAGGAATGTGCGTTCTTGTAGAGAATTAGAAGGCAAATGTTAGGCTTGTCAGCATCTGAGGACCACAGAAGCAGTCCACCCATTGTTTGAGTCACGCTCCCAGGGCCCAGCACTTTTCACTGAGGAGCCTGCTTTTGAAGTGTTTTCTTTGCTTAATTTTCTCCACCTTTGAGATCCTTTCAGAAGTATTTTCTTTTAAAATATCATGCATTCTTCTTTAGAAGAATTGGTCTTTCTAATAATACAAAGAAACATAGGATACTTGTAATCTGTCAAGAATGGCTAAAAACATTAGGGCATTAAGGACAGATAGAATGAGGGTTGTGGAAGAAGTTTGGCAGTCTAATTATAAATCGACTTTTTTTTTTCTCTTTTTAATTTAGTCTGACTATAGAGAGCTGTATCTACGCAAGAAAATAAGAACTTTTGGTTTCATTTAAAAATTGCAATTAGTTTTTTCATATGTAATGGGAGATCAAAATGGAAATCCTTCTTTGGCATTACAGTTATATATTGGAGTCTTACTTGTATATGAAAATAATTGAAGGGCTAATAAAAATTCTACTCAAAACCAATGCCTGTTATTTTATGGAGTTACTTTTTAAAAATTACCCAAGATGACCATAAAATTGTATGGAAATTTTAAGTTTTAAAAAAAGTCAGCATAAACTGTTAACATGGGTTTCAGAAAAGAAAATAGCAATTCCTAAAATAGTTCTTGTAGTCGTAGGTATGTATGTAAATGGATTTATGAATTTAAATATAAGATTTAAGAATTAGAGTATACTTTGATTCACAAAATAAATGAAAAGTAGCTATTCTTACAGACCTGTTTGTTGAGATGTAATCCACAGAGTAATTACATAAATTGGTTCACTGTGCATCCCTCTGTTTACTAAGACTTAACACTAGGGTCACAGTTCCTGAAGTCACTCCTGTTCTTTTTCTCAACTGCTCTAATACGTCTGTGTCCTTTCTGTCAGGTGGTAGCACCTTTTGCAGATGACAATTTCAGCATCTGGTAGACTCGCTCTTGGTTTTGTTCTGTAAAGCCTTATTCTGACTTTTAACTGTTAGCCTCTGACACTTGCTTAAAATACTTCTTTTTGGGTTTTCTGGGTGTTCATCACTAGAGACAAGTTATTAATGCTTCTAACACCAAGGATTTGTGGAGGGTCTTCTATCACTATGAATCTCTCCTCCCTTAACGTGAACTATTTAAGGTTAAAATAGAAGGTGTCTATTTTTTAATCTCAATACTTAATACAGTGCTTAACACAGAACAGTTACTGAATAAGTGTTTGTTGAATGAAAACATGTCCTGAGGTGTTGGGATTAAGAAGGAAAATATTCTTTTCAACTTCTACCAGAGGGACTAAGCAGTAGTTCAGTGAGTAAGCCAGTTGGGAGCTGATTTAGTTTCTGTTAAAAAAAAAAAAGTCCTTGGCTGGGTATGGTGGCTCATGCCTATAATCACAGCACTTTGGGAGGCCGAGTTGGATGGATCACTTGAGGTCAAGAGTTCGAGAACACGCTGGTAAACATGGTGAAACTCCATCTCTACTAAAAATACAAAAATTAGCCAGGCGTGGTGGTGCATGCTTGTAATCCCAGCTACTTGGGAGGCTGAGGCAGGAGAATCACTTGAACCCTGGTGGTGGAGGTTGCAGTGAGCTGAGATATTACACCACTGCACTTCAGCCTTAGCAACAGAATGAGACTCCATCTAAAAAAAAAAACACGAAGATGATAAAACTGTCCCTTTTACACAGAGCTCTAAGTTAAACTTTTCTGACTCTGATTTTTAGGTTCATACCTAACGTTCAGTTCATGTTAATAAACATTTTTCATAGAAATATAACAGCAGTGGTGGCAGGATAACTTAACTATGTGAAGAAATAAATACATGGTCAGTTACATGAATTTGCATGAAGAAATAACTTTTCAAACTGTGATGATTAGAAAAGGCCCTAATAAAGTGCAATGAGTCTATTATAAATTGTACAAAAGAGAGGGATAATAATGTAGGAATAAAATTTAAATTATAAATATAATTTCATAAGATGCAACCAAACCATCATTACTATTTTATCTGACTTAATGTGATTCCCTGTTCATTATGCAGACCAGTGGAATTTGATAATTGTGTAGTATTCTAAAGTTGCATCTTTTACTGTATTTTAAGTTACATGGGCTATGTGCAATGGCTCACACCTGTAATCCCTGGCTTTTGGGAGGCCAGGCTGGGAAGATCGCTTGAGGCCAGGAGTTTGAGACCACCCCTGGCAGCATAGTGAGACTCCAATCTCTACAAAAAAATAATTTCCTGGGTGTGGTGGTGCATGCCTGTAGTCCTAGCTACTCAGGAGGCTGAGGGCGGAGGATTGCTTGAGCCTGGGAGGTTGAGGCTGCAGTGAGTATGATTGCATCACAGTACCACTGCACTCCATCCTGGGTGACAGAGCGAGACCTTGTCTCAAAAAAACAAAAAAAGTTAAATGATATGTGCCATTTGGAAGTGACAATACTGTTCATCAGCTTAGGGGCTGGCAGCAGCTTTTCTAGTGTTAGCTTTTTTCCCTTTCTCCTGTCATGACTTAAAAATAATAACTTACTGGGCATGGTGCTCACTCTTGTAATCCTAGCACCTTGGGAGGCTGAGGCACTTGTGGCCGGGAGTTCAAGACTAGCCTGGGCAACGTAGTGGCACTATCTCTAAAAAAGAAGGAAAGTAACTGTTAATTTGCTTTCTAGTGGTGGGTAATGTTTGGAGTTTCCAATGATTGCTAACCCATTAATTCTTCATTTATTGAACACCTCCTTATGTTTCAGATGCAAAGACATACAAGGCTTTTTTTCCTACTCTCAAGGATCTTTTGGTCTAACTATGTGATATTTAAACTATTTGATTTCACATTAGTTGGACCTCTATTGGAATTCAGTTTGGCTGTACCATTCTGAAACTTGAAGAGTGTCCTGAGAGCCACCAAGATAATTAAAGGATTAGAAAATGAGACTCGTGAAAAGAACTCAAGAAGAATTGAATTATTTAACAGAAAGGAGAGAAAGCTAAAGGGACATATATTAATCATTTTTGAAGATGTAATGGATGATGACCATTTACTTCTAGTGTTGGCCAAAGATGGGAAAGGAAGAAGTGGATTAAACTATAGAATGAGATATTAAGGTTAGACTTGAGCGTCTAAGAACACATGAATTATTTTAGTATGGGCCCTCTTAATGAATGTAGTCCTGACACTTTTAAAGCGTATTTTAAAATTACATTAAATATATTTTGTTTTCCGAAGTGAAATTGTGACTGAATTTAGGGATTAACAGAGAAAGAGCGTTCAAGTTTCTCTAGTATCTTTCAGAAAATTATAGAGCTTGACTATGGAGAAGGCTAACACTCGGTTCCAGGACATACATGATACTGAATCAGTAAAAAGCAAATGGTCACAGCAAGGGCAGTCCCCTTATGAGTACATCCTGATTGGTTTTTATAATATTTACATTTTTTTTTTTGTTTTACTTTTTTAGACAGGGTCTCACTGTCTTGCCGAGGCCATAGTGCAAAGGCTATTCACAGGTGTGATCATACATAGTACACCCTTGAGCATCTGAGCTGAAGGCTTCCTCCTGCCTTGGCCTCCAGAGTAGCTGGGACTACAGGCAGGAGCCACCACTCCCAGCTGTGCTTCTATAATCTTAATAAATCATTTAGAAAATTAAAACTCATTTACTAGAGAGAAACTTAAGAGCATGATTAAAGTTTATTTTTAAACAGTGTCGTATTCCCTTGCCCAGTTGCATATTGCTAGGGACGAAGTCTACTAAGAGTTAATGCCTCCTCTCATTTAGATTTGAAAGGCATTCTTGCTGTTAGCCTTAGCGTTTACAGCACTTTTTCAGACCACAACAGCTTGATAACTTGGGTTAGTATTCTAAACCTTCAAAGAAAATGGAGAGTTAGAGTCCATCTGCATTGTGACTTAACTCTTTTCAAAGCCTCTGATTTTTAAGCCCTTTCACTTCAGGTGCCAAATTTTCTCAAAGCACAAGACCCCATAACGCAGTCTTTCTCTCTGCCAAATTGTGTCTGTTCCCTTACTATACAGCCACTGAAACCTGGTCTTCAGTAATATACTTAGAAGGTATCTCAGTGTTTTTCTCATGGAAACCTTCTGTGTTATATTACTTGTGGCCAATCTTAAAAGTATATGTACATACGTAGAACCTGACAAAAACTTATTCCTTAGCTAAAAAGGGATAATAATTTCTTCTCCTCCTGCTTAAAAACATTTTAAATATAACAAAGGCTTTCTAATGACCAACTGGTTTTTATCTCCTCTTCATCCTTCATCTGATTAATCTCTTGT